AATGAAAACAATTTTTTCAGCATTTGTTGATAGCAAACGATTGCGCTTTTCCTCATAAACTATACCTGCTTCTGAAAATAGCCTCTCACTATATACACTACTGCTGGGAGACGATAGATAAATCTTAGCGAATTCTGTCAGGCTTGGATACTGTTTTGCGTTTGCTGACCACCACTTGTAAAGGTCTGCCGTCCAATCTAGGCGAACAGTTTTCATATAAAGTGATACAGTGATATTTTTTAGTAATAATTAGTAACGCAATTTGATGTAACAATGAACAAATAATGCATGTTGTGACACGATCTACTCGCAAATAAAACAAATGTGCCCGCAGTGTCGCCACCGCACCCACTGTAATGTATCAGGTCGTAACATATCACCCGCGAAATGTACACACATTTTGTCGAACATTCAGCCGCCGAATATTCGGCGCTTCGGCCAAGAGCGTAGCCGAATGTTTGGTATTCGGTATTCGGCAAAATCACTATTCGTGGCATCACTAATAAATATATCCAAAGTCATATATATACTGGGTCTATCAGGAAAATGGGCAATTAGCATATACATAAATAATTATAAGAATGTTTACCTTAAGAGTTTCAATATATTGTGAACAATCTTCATAACCCACACTCATCACTTACAAAATATTGAAACTCTTAATACAAAAATTCATGCATTCCTGAAAATACGTTGCGACACTCTACGCTTAACACACTTGAAGATATGAAAAGTATTTGTGCATAAATGAGAGTCACTCATGCAATATCATCTTCAAAACATAAATGGCAAAATATGTTTGAAATTTTCTAAATAAACATTTGTTAATAAATATTCAAAAGTTAAAAACAATGTATTTATAATCCTTACAGGATGGAAAAACTGTTATTACAATTTGGCTATAAAATTAACTGCAGCTTATTCTTTTTATTTGAATATTTGTTCTATTTTCATGTTTATTTTGTATTTATATATGTTTTGTTCCATATTCTTAAAATTTGTAATGGTTTTTGGCTGAGATTGGCACAAATGAGTAATAAACATTTGCAATTAAAACTTTTAAAGTATGTTTGGCTTCCCTAACAAGCCTGCAAGAATAATAAATATCTATTTGTAATTGTCCATTTTCTGTCCTGATCCTGTACATAAGTAGTAAGTTAATAAAAGACATAATTGGTAGATAATGTCAGACTTGCAAAAAATATGAATTTGAGTCATGCTCAATGAAACATTTCTTTCAAATGTTTTGAAATTATTTATATTAACTTTAATCATTCAATTTCCAGTATATAACAACATTGGTTCTTTAAGTGAGAAATTATGCAATAATTATCTAAAGCATTAAATTTATGAGTTATTTTTCAATAATTTAACAATTCAGCAATTTTGTTTGGCTTATTTAACTTAAAAAGTGAACCTTATTTGGAATTCTATCAAAAATGTTTTTCTGTCTTTCCATAAAAACACCCTAAATAATACTAAACAAGACTAGACAAAGTCTCATAAACAATAATTCATTACTTCGAGACACTGCATCTGGCACACTTGAGTTTTAGGAAGATGACAACAGGAACGACCATACCATCTTTCCCCTTTATCTATTCCTATAATAAAAATCAAATTGTCATATTTATACATAAAGGAATTCATATTCAAAAACTAACATCTTACTCTGCAGTGTTCTGTTCATACAATTCCAAAAGAAAGTCTATAAAATATTTGTTATGATTATTAAATATAAAAAATCATAAATCTCATTGGATAAAGATTAAGAAAGATTACCCATGTTTCTCCACAACTGGCATGTAAATTTCTCATTTTGAATTTTCTTTCTNAATGTGAAATGTATAAATTACAAAAGGTTTTTAAGGAGAAAGTATACAAGAAGACGAAAGTCCTTACCTTGACCGTTAACAATTTCTACAGGTGTAAACAAAAATATAACAAGTGTAAACAGTTCGATTTTATTCCTATTAGAAGCCATGAGTATCTCTTTCGTGTTTACAAGAAATTTGAATATCTTGTATTTGTTAACCGACGACGATAAACGAACCGCTCGCCGTTGGCCGAAGAAATAGCGAAGGAGATAAGAAAATTATCAAAATATCCATCGAAATCGCGGTGAGTAATAGTCAGATAAAAATGTACAAACGATACGACGAGAAATTATAATTAATTTAAAAATTGTTCTTGATTATTAAATATAAAAAATCATAAATCTCATTGGATAAAGATTAAGAAAGATTACCCAAATTTGGTTCCCATGTTTCTCCACAACTGGCATGTAAATTTCTCATTTTGAATTTTCTTTCTTCTGGATTTAGAGCCATATTCATTAAGGAAATCTAAAATAAATTATATTTAATTGAATAGATTATGCTTTTTCTAATCTCAGACAGACACCATTCAGTCAACAGTCAATACCTCCTCGCAGTCACGTCGACATTTTCCCGTGACTTCCGAGCAACATTCTGGAACTGTACAAAAAAATTATTTAGGAATAATAAATATTTAAATCATAATTTAAATTTAAAATCAAATAATTACTTTTAAAAGTTAAATCACTGCTTTTGTTTTTGGTGATTCAAAACATTTTAAAAAAATAAAACTTTTAGCACAAGTATTTTTCAAAATAAGATAAATAATAATTCTTCAGATATGACAGAAGATATGTTACAATAGTTTCTCTTAAATAAAGTAAAAAACTTTTGTAAAAAAGTGAAGTTCTTAACATAATAATAATAACTGCACCTTCCAATATAAACTTCAATAACTCAATATAAACACAGAACAATGCTTTATTATAGAAAAATTATATAAAAGCACTAATATTTTTAGACAGATTTATATTCTAGGAAATGTAATCTAAAACTAAAACATCCTAATGTCTACAATGCTCAGTGAACTGAAATTAATTAATTTTGCAATCATTTACCTGCAAGGCTACAACACAATTCAGAGAACCAAAGCAATAAAATTAAATAAATTACATCTCAACAATCATATAATACATAAAAGTCAAATAAAGAAAACCAAACTACATAAATAATGATTCTACATGCCATCAAAAACCACTTCTTACACATTGTACATATTCCAAATTAAAAGATATATATCTAATGAAACAGTTTGAGGTGTAATCAAATGTTAAACATTTATGACACAGATTAAAAACTGTTTAAACATACAGATAACAATAAATATATTATGTTATATAATAATAACCAGACATTAATATTTAAAAATTAGTTTTTATTTTCTGTAAAATAAAACTGCATTAAATTATATCTAAATACCATATCATTAAATAGATTTTACAACAAATTGTTAATATTAATTGAAATATTTTCAGGATAAATTCTGCTGCATCTCTGGAATTAATAACAATAATCATTACACATTTTTTAAATTAAAAAGAAGAATCAAAAAAATATTTCTTTACAGATTCAAATAATTTGTGTAATACAGGAAAAATGTATTTAGCATCGTAAACATTCTTATTATTATTCTTTACAGGATATCTCACAAATCTGGAACATATGAAATTCATTGATGTTTGTTTATTATTTTACTTATAAAGCCATGGGTTAAAGTGAGGATGAATGAATTTAGTTAGTTTGATAGTTGAGGCCTGCAGTCAGTAAGATGGCAGAGTTTAATAGACTGCATCCAGACTGCTGTTTGCAATTGGTGAGGAGTACTGCATCAAGTCATCCTATTATAATAATCATTTGCTTAGAATTAGAAGGATTATAAGATTACACTCTGTTATAATCGTTCCAATCATTGGCGCATCCAGATGGGAGCCAAGATGGCACACCCCAAAGAGAAAAGAAAAACATTAGGAAACAATTTTTGAAAAATTTACTAATTAAAATTGATTTTATATATTTATATTATGTTATGTCTTCTATTTCTGTACTATATGAAGTACTAATTACATAAGGTGGTAATTTTATTTAATTTGCATTTAAATTTTTTTAATCTGTCAACTGCACACATATCCAAAATTAAATTTTGAGTGCACTACTGCTTCCAATTTTTTACATTTCAGAGTATATAGAGAATTATTCAAAAGGCTGAGCAAGGCTTCATTAGAAAGAAAGATTCTTTCTTGTTCTCCAGTTTAGTCATAAATATGTGGATGGAATATAAGTTTATTTCTTTGATTAGAATGAATACTTTAAAATGCAATTGCTCTCAATAGATGCAATCAGTTGCTGCTGCAAGATTCAAGAATAAGTGTACTAATATTTCTCCATAATAATCTAACAGCCAGGTGATTGTGATGCTTATGTCAGTCTAGTCTCTCTATCCATGGGATATACTTTCTATTTAAAACTTTATTATATGAAAATACATCTTGTAAAAATATTTATTTGTTTCATTGTATTATTTCTTTTTCTTGCATTAAAAAGATGAAAACAAGACTTTCATTCCCCAACTTTTCAGAACAATATACAGAATGCGTCAGAAAGACAGAAAGGGTGTGCTTGGAACTTGGATTTACAAGTACCCAAGAATAGAATTTGAAGCTGCTTTGAAAAAGTCATGTTCCAACATTGCATTGGCATTCAAGATAACATGTAGCATCAGAAGCAACTTACAAATGCAGCGTGAGCAATTTGTTATAAATACAATCGGAAGGCTGCGAGACTGGAGAATCATAATTTCAATATGGTTTTAACACTTGGCTTTGAAATAATTAGTCATTGGTTCCCTGTAATAAAATATTGTTGGCATACAAAAAGAGAAAACAGGTAGCCACCTTTGACTCAACATGTATTTTAAGCACAGCTTAAGATTAATTCAAGTCTTGTTTAGTATAAATTTGGATAATTTTAAGCTATTATATGTTGGAACTGTTGCTTCTTGTCTGGCTTTTCATATTAATTAGTTAGTAGGCTAACTGATTTGTCCTTCTTCCAGACACACCATTGAACATTGGTCTGATAAGTCTGGAAATAAGGGAAATCAAACCATATTCTACATTGTCTTTTCTAATTTCAAATTGATATTTCAACTATACATGTTTTGGGATTCTCTGAAATGCAAGTGTTCTATAAATACTACATACTTAAAGTGTGGTGAAACTGTCACTTGTTTCACAGTTCTAATAGTATTTGCCTGTAGATAGAGGATTTAAATAAGTTTTAACGAGACTAAGGGAGATTATCTTTAGTGTAAAAAGTGAAAGAGCAAAAGACAAAATATGAAATACTGACAGAAATTAGAGAAACTTTGAAGTTTTTAAAAATTAGTATTCCTCCTTGCGGAAATCACCAAAGTATTGTCAGTAGTTTACGGGGGAGAATTTGTTTGTATCCGACCACGGGAAGGGAAGGCGAAGTAAGATCGTCATTTATTTTTCTCCCAGTTATCACAATTGTCCGAAAATATTTCCTACATATTTACAAATGTTTTAACTTATGACCCGACGACTGACGATAACAGGGAATCAAATATAGGCAAATTTTTGCCAAAGTAATACCCTATATATTTTCGACATATGGTAAGAACGGATACCAAAATCTAAAAATCACTCTCTTTATTCTTTTAATAACAGCAATAAAAAAGCACAAAATTGTTGACTGTTGTCAGAAACAAAATCTTAATATACAGTGTAAAGTGGTCTAAAAGTCACTTAATTGGAATGATACGAATGATGCAAATAATCTTTTAGCACAACCATTGTTTCTACTAAAGTAAAAACTGGATCATTTACTACTATTTTCTGTATTATTTTGAAAGTTGAGTCTTAAACAGGCTGCACGTAGCTTTCCTTTAGCACGCTTTGGACAGGGATTGAGTACTTGGTATACTTTACTAGTTTGAATGGCGGATGGTTCATCTTGTTCGGGAGCAATCGCCGACAGTATTAAATCTGTATCCAGTTCAAACGAAAATTCTTGCTCGCATTGTTCTTTGCAGAATTCATGATGCAAAAATAACACTGTTCCTTCTTATTTTCTTTCTTTCCCCGTTGGACGTATGTTTTGCATATTTGTTAATTTGCTTAATCCGTGAACACATTCTTTTAATCCATATTTATGATAAGATCACACAGGTCACATCTCAAAATACTTTCAGCGGTCGGCAGTTTTACACACCGGAAAGTCGTCTTACCGCGTCACTCTTTCCTCACCTCCGGGAACAATGGAATCGTTCTTAATTATTATTTTACATCAAAGGAAATATTCAAATACGAAAAAATCATTAATTGCAAATTTAATATCAGATTTATAAACAGAAATAGAAAAATAAACAAAAGTAATTTAAGGTGTAAATAAAATATAAAAAATAAATTTAAAGCGATACTTTTTATTCGGACGAATGCTCTGGACCGTAAACAATAAATTTTCCTAACACTATTCTTGGTATGATATGACCAAAAGCCTGGGGCGCTCGTGTTTAGTTACACTTTCTGTACATTTTCATGGGCTTCCCGAGAAGGTCCAAGCTTTTAGTTTTGGTCGCGTAATGCCGAGAATAAAGTGAAAGCCGGAAAAATTATTTTTTACCTTTTAGGGCATTTATCTCAACACCTTCCCAGCAGTCATAACAACACGAGAAAGTATTGTTATCGTCTCAAAATTTTACTTCCCTGTTAATTTTCCGGTTGTTATTATATAACATTGTAATCGTGTCACATTTGACCTTCCGAATTTTTCGAATCTCGACGTTTTCAGACTCACTGAACCCCAAAAAGTCAGAAAACTGGTACTGTATCTGCGATGCGTGTATGTGTTTGTTTTGGACTTTTGATACGTTCGTTAATTTAGCGTCTCCGCAATTACGGACGAGCGCTGCATTTGGAAACAACGTAAAAGATAGAAAGAGATGGCGGCGCCTGTAATATCGATAGTATCGTAATGAAGGAATCTATGATTTTAAAATACCGTATGCGATTTTAAAAACAAAATTTAAAAGGATCCCAACTGTAAAATTTAACCTAAAATAGATTGATTCTCTTGTCGACGGATCATTCAATGTAGCTACGAAAAAATGTACACTGTAAACTACCATTCAAAAACTCCAGCAACGGATTGCATCTTCCTCTTGTTCTTTCGAAAGCTTAATTTTGAGGGGAGGTACGGGTTTTATAAAAATAATTGTAAATGCTAATAACGAGTAAAATATTCATATACTCCGAACCTCTCTCTCTCTCTCTCCACCCTGTTGACCTTTAACCACCAGAATTTAATAGCGTTGAATCCACTAATACGCAAACCTTTCTGCAAAATTTCAAAAATCTTCGATGAAAAGCGCAGGATTTATTAAGCCCCAAACAAGGTGAACAAAATCGTGACACACACTAACGTCCATCATACATACAGAAAAAATCCCCAAAGTTTTCTTATCTTTTTTGTTTTTTGCATTTCTGAACACTACCAGCTTTCCCGAGTCAAAAAATGTAAGTCTTTGGGAGGTTATCTTTTGACCGTTTGTCATATTGAGTCGGCGACATTACCTCTCGACGGGAAACTGGCTGTCGAGTTAAAGCCAATAAATCGGTGACTTATTTCGTAAACAGAGCCGGCCGAGGAACGGGATGCGAGACGATTTAATTGTCGCATTCCCGACCTAATTGACAAATCCCCGATCGTGCATGCTGAGAACGACAGAGGGATCGTCCACTGGGGTGACTTCGGTAGGTCATCTTACACCGAGTTCAAAATGAAACTTGGTAAGCTCTCCTTCGGAAAGAGACTTACCAAATTTCTGACTCGGAGAAGTGCAGCTGTGCACAATCAATAATCGGTCCGACCGATTGTGCACAGCTGCGCCTTCTCCGAGTCCGAAAAACGCATTAGACCAAATTTACGGGACCCTCATCCGAGGGAAGGGCTTGACCCGACTCCGGAGGTGAACGGCCAGGACGGGAATGTTCGGTGACCTCGCGGCCCGAATCGTGTCTCTGGAGGTAGACCAGGGACTAATGAAGTTTCAAGGGACCACCGTTCAGACCAATCAAAACCTCGTGATTTCGGGTAGAAATGATATAAAAGCCCGAGGTCCCAAGGACACGGGGAGGTTGAGAGAAAACAGTCCGGTCGCCTCAGCTCGGGATTGTAGGAGCAAAGGCTAACGAACCAAGTACGGCAGAAGAATTTAGGGACCGAACTTCCCGATACGAATTAGGGAATTAACTTCCCCACGGAACATTGTAAACGCCGTAGTCTTGAGCTACGTGGACCTTGCTACCACTTCCTTCTCCAACCGCCGAAAAGGAAAACCCTCTACAACCTACGCGGAAGAACTTTTTTTGGTGTGTGACTCACCTGCCCCTGGGAAGGACTCTCTATCGTTTGGTACAGTACGTTATCTTTTCGAAGGACAGACCATTGTTTCTATTGTACTCGTAAGCATGTTCTAAATAAACGCGTTAAATTTGTAAATACGGTTCTGTGTGGGTCATTTTGGCAGCCTATCGCTCTGGGGGACCCGGGATCGAATCTGGACGGGTCAAGGAATCTCCAGGAATTTTTCGGAGGTGGTTCTTTCGGATAAGTCGGGCCCAGTCCCTCACCACCCAGTCACCCCATTGTGGGCCTGACCGAACCCATAATGGGCCTGCTAGAAGAAGCCCACAGGGCGGAAAGAGTATTAAAAAAATCCTAAGGCGAGTGGCGTGGGGCCTAAAACCCCACACTGGTGTCAATCCTCGGAAACCTCACAGTACTTTCCCTCTGTGATACATAGCAGTCGTAAGATAAAAAAATTGAACATGACGCTTATATCGCGGTGTACACTAATGTGCTCTTTCACAACTTCTACATTTTCATTCACGAAACAATATAATGGATACTGAAACGCAATTATCTGAATCAAGGACGACACAATGTTACTTACTAATATAAACTATTACCGTGCTTACTAGCTAATATGGTTTGGGAGCTGCTATTGTTCGCCCTTTGTCTTTACGGTTGTATTTATGGGTGGGTGTTTGTTGGCACTTATTTCGGGATGAGTTAAAGATTAATTAACGAAATATGGCGTGATAACTTGTATACGCGAACATCGCAATACGCTATTAAACTTTAGTGATTATAGGTTGAGAGGAAGATGGAAGTCACGTATCATATTTCGAGTGTTTTCTGACTTAATGAAAATTTTACTTGTTATGGGCATTTACGATATTTTTAGGAGCTTATTTCTACCTTCGAAACCAAGCCTTTCTTCCCTCTTTGTAAAATGTTTTATAAAGTAGTTATTAAATGTACAGTACTGTACATATCGATTTTTATTTCATTGGCGGCAACGGTCCAATATTCTCTGGCTATAGGGGCCCAATGAGATTGCGTGTACAATTGGTAGCGAATCCTACCAAAAACTAGTTTTTCAATTATGACTTACGAAGTGGTTTTTTACGCAGATCCTAGAGGCAAGATTTGGCTACGCGGCTATCTTTATCCTTATCTTAGCGATTTGTTAAGCAGCCTGTATTTAAATACTCCTAAACGATTAATTAGTAAATACTTAAGTTATTAAATAGTCCTACATCCGATGGGCGGATTTAAGACTATTAAAATACACGAACTTTTTTATTTTAAAATAAGCTTATACGGGAAAAAACAAATACATAATAAATTTACTATAAAAGTTAAAATATATAAAACTGAATTTATTGTTATTTACAACAACCACTTTCCAGAAGGCACATTTTCAAATAGGCGTGACGTTTATACGCAGCCCACCAGTGGCCAAGCGGTTCCGCTTCCGGAACGCTGGGAGTTCGGGTCGCGGGTCGGCGCCTGGTGGGGACAGGCTGGCAGGTGGAGTTTTCGAAATTTCTCTACGTCCGTAATCCCCAGATATGGGCCAGTTACATTTAAAAAGACCTCCCGGAAGGCATTATTCCCGCGTAACGACCATCATAAGCGCATACAACTACTATTACGTGATAATTACGTCACACTTTACCACGGAGCGATATAGCTTAGAACCCGATGCCCACCCAACTAGCCGATACAAAAGAAGACAAACGTCTCCTCGTTTAATATAAGCATTGATTATACTTTAAATAGTTAACACATTTTATAGCTCGACTACAGATCTAAAACCCGCAAAAATGTGTAATATAAAAGTAAATAGGCCATATTAAAATTATTTTATAATATTATGTAGCCTAAAAATATTCGCCATGAACTCCGCATAAAAATATGATATTTTTACTTGTAGAAAAACTGTTAAGAATATTCCTTTATTAAATAAATTCATTATTTACATAATTTTATAAGACAATAGGTTATTATGTTTCATTATCTATAACAAAGTTTATCAGAAATCTTTGTACCGTAATATTTTCGATAGCAAAACCACGGATATTTTACATTCTCGGAGTATTTACGTTTAACATTTAAACATTTACCAAATAAAGTCCCTAAAATAAGTTTATAGGTTCAATTACGATAATTTAAAAATGTGAAATGTATAAATTACAAAAGGTTTTTAAGGAGAAAGTATACAAGAAGACGAAAGTCCTTACCTTGACCGTTAACAATTTCTACAGGTGTAAACAAAAATATAACAAGTGTAAACAGTTCGATTTTATTCCTATTAGAAGCCATGAGTATCTCTTTCGTGTTTACAAGAAATTTGAATATCTTGTATTTGTTAATCGACGACGATAAACGAACCGCTCGCCGTTGGCCGAAGAAATAGCGAAGGAGATAAGAAAATTATCAAAATATCCATCGAAATCGCGGTGAGTAATAGTCAGATAAAAATGTACAAACGATACGACGAGAAATTATAATTAATTTAAAAATTGTTCTTGATTATTAAATATATATACAGTACATACAACATACTGTACAGTACAGATTTACTGTGGATGATCTTGCTGGGAACAACGAAAGGGAAAAGATTATATGTAAAATATGTCTTCGTTTTTGTATTCCTTCTTCCGACTCATCCTTTATTTTGTACCGCACGCTAGAGTCGGAAAAAGGTAAGAAAATGCCCCCGGCATAGGCACTTTTCGCCTAAGGTGTGACTATGCAGACGCGTGCGAGCGAATTTTCCGAGCGAGCGAGAATACATAGCGAGAAGAGGCGAGACGCGATAAATATGAAAACCTGTCAGATATGTGCGAGAACCAGAAATTCGCTCTCGCTAGCGTTATTTCTCGCTTCTCGTTTGTGCATGATTTTCCTTTGCAATAACTAAATCGCTCGCAACCTCTCGCTCGCTCTACATTCGCGTCTGCATACTCGCACCCTAACGGCGCCTTCGTTTTAATCAAAAATAAAACAAACGAATAATCCAAATAATATTTTACAAAAAAATAACGCGATTTCGTGTAAAAGATTAAAATTATTCAGAATTATTTTTTGAAAACTCGACTTAATTCACGCGACTCCGTAACTTCCAATCAAAAGCGATAAAGTATAATGCTGTTTCTGTTATCCAATTATATGTCGCGATACGTTACTTCGTTTCTCGAATAAACGGATAAGAAAATTTTAATTTTTTTTTTTCACTAAAAATTTACTTAAATACAAAATAATTAAATAATACACGAACATTAAAAAGTTTCGTCCTTTATACTTAACCACAACGTCAAAAAGAAACAAAACAGACGATAAAAATCATAGCGCCGCCTGCCAGTTTATAACTTCGATCGGAATTAATAATTTTTTGATAGCGAAGAATGACTTTCTTTTTAAAGCTTTTTAATATATTATTGTTTGCGAAGATTAAATTATGCTAAAAATATATAACACAGACGAATACACTCGTGTTTATTTAAAAAAAGAATTATATATCGTTCTTCCGAACTAACGGACGAGAGGACGTCAACCGGCCCGGGTATTTTTATCCTTTTTATTTATTTGAAATGAAACAGAATTTAAATGCTCTTTATTAAATATGTCGAGGATAATCGTTAGATTTCGTTAATTTTATATCAAGTCAGTTATATCTTAATATCGGTCTAAAATAGCCTTAAACGGTCGACATTGTACCGTACCGCGTCGACCTTTTAACCCTACCGTTACCCTACTTAATTCTTAGTATATTTATAATAAATACTCAACAATAATTATACGGGTAATGCGCTCTTATAGTATAAAAGTTTATTGAGTATTTAATATTATTGTACTATACCAGTCGACCCCCTATAACACTGTTGATTTTTCCGTTTTATATGAGTTCCATGTTGTACGAGTCACTTAGATTTTACAAATACGTGTGCCGGACTGTGTACGGCTCACTTATTTGTAAAATCTAAGTGATTCGTACAACATGGAACTCATATAAAACGGAAAAATCAACAGTGTTATAGGGGGGTCGACTATATTTCTTAAAATTTACTGTTTTTTCAGATATTATTGGCAAGCATTTCGAGATGAGTAACGCTTCGTCGCCCGCCGAACGTAAATATTTGAGTTATATTTTAAAATTCTAACTTCAATGATTTAAATATTAAATATACAATTTTTATTAATTTATCATTGTTTATAATTCTCTGACGTAAATGTAATTCGATGATAACCTATAAATTAATTAACTATGTCTCGTTTTACTCTTTACGTTGAAAATTTCGGCTCGATACTTATTTATTATTTAAAAATATGCCAATATTTAACCAGAATTCTTTAAAATTATAGATAATTTAGCTTTATATCTATTTATATAATCTTTTACGTATATTAGATGCCGAGAGTTACGAAAAGTGCCGGGCCAACTTGCCGTTTCTACAGTTTGAACATATTTCCTTCGAAAGTAAATTATTTGAAATCGTCGAAGAATTGAGATTGAGAAGGGTAAGGAAAAGGCGAAAGTTTTCTTTAATAAATGCTAATACGAATCTATAAAAATATTTGTGTGTAAATGTGTGAATAGGTGCGCGAATAATACGCGGTGGAGAAGATATTTAGCCCTTACTCGTAAATGTAAGGAATACGAGAAAGCTAGGTTATGGAAAACATTCGACTAACACGGAGCATCGCAGAAAAGTTATCTTTTTCCACGTGGAATAGCAATGTGATAAGAGAAAAACTTACTGCTCCACACACCCACACACAAATAAAAAGAAAACCACAGTTACTACATAAAATATTTAAGTTTTAATGATCTTTTAGCCAAACGCAAGCAAAAGGGTTATCAGGTTTTATGAAAAAAAAAAATTAGAGAAAAATAAAGACGTATGCTGATAATTCAGATTAAGATTAATTAACAGGAAAGCTCAACAGATGACGATATTTTGCTAAAAAGAAAACATCCTCGTTTAACAATGAAATAAAATGATTATTAACGTGCAATACTTCTGATTATGATTGATAGTTTATTATTGATTACTTTAATAAATATATTTTTTAGATATTTAAATGATATACAATAAAAATGTGAATTTCTATTTATGAAAATCAACTTGACTCTTTTCACCAATTATAGAGCCACTTAAAATTTTTTATAAATTTTGCTCGAGTATTTTATAAATTTTGGTCGAGTAATCTGCATTGTGTCATCTTGTGTCCTCTACGATGCAGATTTAAATTCGGTGCAGATGTAGATCCGGTCTAAAACATGTTTCTCGTTGGATGAATATTTTTCGAAATATATTCACCGCTAAATTAGCACACCAAGAAGGAGATGTCGTATCGCTGCGAAACTTGGCAAGCAGATAAGACTGAACCAGGTACGGAGGCGATTAGATTTATAGCATGATGGCTCAAGGCGTAATGCCAGCAGAGGGCGTTAAACTGCGTTTCCCTCGGCCTGTAAAACAGCGCGTAGACATCCCGTGTGTACTTGACTCGTTGCAGAGGGAAGCGGGATAATAGTGATGCCTTTACGTCGCAGTCGAAGATTATAGGAACGAATAACCCAGTTTGAAAGGGGAGAATCATCGGGTGGAGAATAACCGTATGGTTATTTCGCCGAATCGCCGGCCACCTAGGCCGTTCTGACAACATTGTGAGGTGGTGTTGGGGGCGATGGATGGAGAGAACGCGCGCACACGGTGTCGAGCCGACCGTATCATTGTCCTCCATCCGGACACGGCTGGAGCCATCATTACGGGTCCCTATGTCTGTCCATATAATTTCGAGGCGCCTGTGTTTCTTTTTGCTCTTTTCATCATGTAGATACTAAGAGGACCTCTTCCAGCAAGCCCATTATGAGTTCGGCCAGGCCCACAATCGGCCGGCCGGGTGGTGAGGGACGGGGACCGATATATCCGGCCAGATTACTCCCAAAAATTTCGTGGAAATTTTTTGACTTATCTGGATTCGATTTCGGGTCCTCCCGAGCGGTAGGCTGTTACCTTGGCCACTCGGCCATCTGAGGCGCCTGGACGGGGGAACATTTGGTATGGCGGTGCCTACGTTTGTAGTAATGTCACTCCCGACGGGATTGGACTGCAACGGAATGAAACCGGGTCTTCTACGTCGACGAATTCAGACAATATAGGAACTGCAGTGGCCATGTTCGTGTCTATAGGCTCTGTGGTGAACTTCAAAATTTTGCCTACGCTTTGAAGCGGCACACTGCTCCCTCAGCTGGTGTAATGGTCTGAGGTACCATCACATACGATGACTGGTCACCAGTGTTGCCGCAATGAAATTTCAAAACGTACCGAAGCGCCTTCAAAAAATGTACTAATTTCCTTCAAAATGTACTAGTTCTATGAATACTTTGTTTGTTTACGTGCCTATATATATATAGTTTATTGTCAAATAATTTAATTTTAAATCTTATTTTTGGAATTTTTTGAAAGCTATTTAAAATTAAAAATATATTTACACATCTATTACTTATTATAAAATAGCATTAAACTTCAATGATTTAAATATTAAATATACAATTTTTATTAATTTATCATTGTTTATAATTCTCTGACGTAAATGTAATTCGATGATAACCTATAAATTAATTAACTATGTCTCGTTTTACTCTTTACGTTGAAAATTTCGGCTCGATACTTATTTATTATTTAAAAATATGCCAATATTTAACCAGAATTCTTTAAAATTATAGATAATTTAGCTTTATATCTATTTATATAATCTTTTACGTATATTAGATGCCGAGAGTTACGAAAAGTGCCGGGCCAACTTGCCGTTTCTACAGTTTGAACATATTTCCTTCGAAAGTAAATTATTTGAAATCGTCGAAGAATTGAGATTGAGAAGGGTAAGGAAAAGGCGAAAGTTTTCTTTAATAAATGCTAATACGAATCTATAAAAATATTTGTGTGTAAATGTGTGAATAGGTGCGCGAATAATACGCGGTGGAGAAGATATTTAGCCCTTACTCGTAAATGTAAGGAATACGAGAAAGCTAGGTTATGGAAAACATTCGACTAACACGGAGCATCGCAGAAAAGTTATCTTTTTCCACGTGGAATAGCAATGTGATAAGAGAAAAACTTACTGCTCCACACACCCACACACAAATAAAAAGAAAACCACAGTTACTACATAAAATATTTAAGTTTTAATGATCTTTTAGCCAAACGCAAGCAAAAGGGTTATCAGGTTTTATGAAAAAAAAAAATTAGAGAAAAATAAAGACGTATGCTGATAATTCAGATTAAGATTAATTAACAGGAAAGCTCAACAGATGACGATATTTTGCTAAAAAGAAAACATCCTCGTTTAACAATGAAATAAAATGATTATTAACGTGCAATACTTCTGATTATGATTGATAGTTTATTATTGATTACTTTAATANTCATTTTTTCGTTAAGGCGTGAAATATTATTTTGTACCGTAAATGGTACTTGAAATATTATAATGTACTGAAAATGTACTAAATATCTAAATGTACTTTCAATTTACTGGAAAGGGCAAAATGTACCAGAAAAGTACAAATGTACTAGGAACGGCAACACTGCTGGTCACCTCTAGTAGTGATTCGAGCGACCAGGTTGGCCCAGCGGTATGCTAGTGGCATCTTGCAGCCAAACATGTTGCCTTTCCTGGCCGCACTCCCAAGAGCTATTTCCAACGGGACAATGCTCGACTACGCACGGCAAGGCTGTCACGGGTCTACCTTCGCCACACTTTTCCGGTCTATTCGGTTTCGATTTCTCATCCATCGAACGTGTATGAATCACCCGGGGTGCTAAATTAGATAACCTGGGAGTTTGGGCGAACTAGAAGACCTCTTGCCAGAACTGTGGTCCGAGATGCCATAGGACCCATACGACACCAGTATTTGCGCTAGAAGTGGGCCAACAGGGTACAAGAACTTCCTTCCATTTGTAGTATTTCCATGAATAAATGACCCTTTTGCTTTCACTTTGTAATCACTTACATATATCACCGTTACACTCACATATGTACAATTTCGTTCGATTCCTGCAACTCTTTCTTGGTGCGCTAATTTTTATGGAAATGAGTGTATTTTTGGAGACTAATTAAAATGCGATACATTGTCTACATATTTATTTTAGTTTTGTTGTTAAATAATATCAAATATAACATTTAGGTATAAAATGTATTGTATTTTCTAAATATATTTCGTTTAATTTAGTAATTTGTTATGTTTATAGGAATGCGATGAAACAAATACGGCAAAAATTCAGCAGTTGATACAAGAAAATTTTGAAATGAAAAAACAACAGGTAACAAACTTTCATATAGTATAACGAAATATTCATTTTTAAATTACTGATTTAACTGTTTTAATAAAGCCAATATCCATGATGCTGTGAAAAGGTATGATTTCAAATACAGTAGAGCATCGATTATCCGACCCCCGATTAACCGTCACCTCGGTTAACCGACCGTCCTAGTCGACAAATTTCAAATGTCCGCTAGTGATGTGGCGCTACAATATTTAGCTATGTCTTGGCTACTTTAATATTATTTTTATGTGTTTTAGCTGGCAACACTAGATCGACCATGAAAGGGAGCCAGTATTTAAACGAGGCTTAATTTTCTAATTTTTAACGATACAATAGCGACGATTATTAATTTTTTTAAAAATTTGATAGGCTTAACATGGAGGAAAATTCAACGCGAAGCAGGTTAATAGCGATATACTAATATACTAATTACATGGGATATAATAATATACTACACTAATAATGGATTTTTTCATACTTTTCGGTTATCCGACTTTTCAATTATCCGACCAACCCCAGTNGTAATGAGTTACGATTTCAATATCTCGTGTGGCGGTATGGGTCTGAATAAATTTCTAAGTCTAGCTCTACTTTTACCATCCCGTGCGGATCGCCGCTTGATGGCCACCACATCTTCACGATGCTCGGACATCTGGCGAAAACAACTTTCTAAGAAAGGACAAAAGGGACTTAGCGGTGCGGGAGGTGTCACTGAATCTATTTTTTGCCGTGAAAATTTCAAAATTTATATTTTGACTGCATTATTTACAGGTCACGTCCGGGCCACTCACAGAAGCTCAGCAGGCCGCAGATTGAGTAAGGTGGGTCTAGGCAGTTAGTTACGTTAACACACTTTCATCCGAGTTTCGTAGCAATTTGTCGAACGGCCTAGGAGTATATAGCGAACAAACATCCTCATTTATATAGAGCGTATATATACATACGCTCTATATAAATGAGGATGTTTGTTCGCTATATACTCCTAGGCCGTTCGACAAATTGCTACGAAACTCGGATGAAAGTGTGTTAACGTAACTAACTGCCTAGACCCACCTTACTCAATCTGCGGCCTGCTGAGCTTCTGTGAGTGGCCCGGACGTGACCTGTAAATAATGCAGTCAAAATATAAATTTTGAAATTTTCACGGCAAAAAATAGATTCAGTGACACCTCCCGCACCGCTAAGTCCCTTTTGTCCTTTCTTAGAAAGTTGTTTTCGCCAGATGTCCGAGCATCGTGAAGATGTGGTGGCCATCAAGCGGCGATCCGCACGGGATGGTAAAAGTAGAGCTAGACTTAGAAATTTATTCAGACCCATACCGCCACACGAGATATTGAAATCGTAACTCATTACATGTCATAACTTGTTTGTTTTGCTTGTGTCGTGCGACTCTATAATTGTTAAAGTACCTTAAGAGTTATAATTGATTAAACAATAAATCACACTGAATTAGCGACCATTTTATTTGAGAAACTGTAATTTATAATTACTATCAACCATGTCAGGAGTGTCTTCCAAATACAAACGAAAAAATGTCTGACGAAAATAGATTGTTTCGAGAACAATCTATTTTCGTCAGACATTTTTTCGTTGGGAAGCTGACTATTTTGTAGTGTAACACAAACACGAATTAGCAACTTGTTTGATCTGTGATGAAAGTGTTATATAAGAAAATATAATATTGCTCGTCATTTTAACACTAAATACAAATCATTAATGATATTTTCTTTCGGGATCTCTCACAAGACGCGAGAAATTGGCTATTTTTAAAAATATCATTGCAACATCAACAAAATATTACGTCTGTGGCAATAGCGCAAGATGCAGCTGTAATAAAGGTATCGTATGAAATTTGTTATATATTTGGTAAACATATGAAACCGTTTACTGATGCTAAAATTGCGATGGAATGTTTTTAAGCGCTTCCAATATACTGTTTGATAAATTCAGTAATAAAAATCAAGTACCGTGTTTCCCCGAAAATAAGACATCCTCAGAAAATAAGACCTAGCACAGGTTTTGCTGAATTGCAAAGTATAAGACCTCCCCTGAAAGTAAGACCTAGCAAAGTTTTTTTTAGTCGTAACGGTCATCGACAGATGGTTGAAAGTGGGCGTTGGCTTTTTGAAAGTACAGCCACTGATTGGTCAGCAGACAATCACGCCACACGGCATGATTTGCATAAGACTATAGCTTGGGTATCACAGATTTGCATAACGTTACGGCTGGTGATCGCTAATTGGTCGGCCGGGAATCACTCCCCAAACATTTGCATAGCGCTACGGTTCAGTAAGCATTAATTGGTCATCGAGCCCGATGTCGAGGCTATGAAAAGGTTAAGTTGTAGCGAGAGTGGGAAATCCACTCCAGCACGGGAAATTCATAAGTTCAATTCGACACGACCGGATATACGTCACTCTCGTTTAAGTTAGACTTGGGAATTTTTTTGTTCAACAGTAAGAGCCTGTACACACTAGGCGTTTTTAAACGCGCGTTTAACGCCGAGCGTTAGTTCGGCGTTAGCACTGGCTCAGTTTGGAAATGGACGTGAAAGTAATTGATTGTGTGTGCTCGTTTTGCGTCGCTATAAGGCAGCACATATATTTCAAAGCGCCCGCAAAACGTGCGTTTTAACAAAAATCTATAAACGCGCGCTTGGCTAAAAGCGCGCGTTTGAGTGTGTACGCCTACATAGAACTCTTGGTTCTTTAAAACGCGCGTTGAAAAGCGCCTACTGTGTACAGGCTCTAAATGTGAATTCTTCTTCATGGAAAATAAGACATCCTCTGAAAATAAGACCTAGTGCCTCTTTAAGAGCAAAAATTAATATAAGACACTGTCTTATTTTCGGGGAAACACAGTAATTTCGGAAATAAAAAAAATCCAGCTTTCAAATTCTACCCGTGTTTGACGTATTAAAGATATGGCAAACCGTATTTGTGATAACAAAATTGACGACTTGAAAAACTGCAGGTTTTTTAGTTTAGGTTTTGACTCTAGCACGGATATTTCACCAACATCACAGTGCTTGGGTTTTGTTAGATATTGAACGGAACAAAATTCAATTTGCCAAGATGTTTTGAAATTTCTTCCAATGAAGGACCAGACCAGAGGCAAAGATTATCTCGATACTATTTACAATTTTCTAGAATAGAACAAGGTAGTTATTAAAAAATTAGTTTGCGTGTGTACCAATGGCAGTCCTTCAATGACTGGATCCGAAAATGGAATTATTTCTCTACTGAAACAGAATTATGATTTGAAAAATCTAAGAACATTTCATTGCATCATTCACCGGGAAAACTTGGTTTGACTTGGTATTGCTAATCTTAAAGTAGATATTGTGATGAAAACTGCCATGAATATAGTGAATTATATCCGAGCACGAGAAATGAACCACAGAAAGTCTAAAAGTCTTTTAGAGGAATTGGGTAGTGAATATAGTGATGTTCTTTTACGTGTAACTCGATCTGTTGGCTTAGCGGGAGAAAAGTTCTGGAAAGGTCTTTTTCTTTGAGAAAAGCAATAATGCAGTTTTTACAGCAAAATAATAAAATTTACAGTGAACTGCAAAATAGTGAATGGTGGTGTATTGAAGCGTTTGTATGCGGCATTACAGAGAAGCTTAACAGTCTCAATACCAGTTTACAGGAAGAAAATAAAATAATTTCACATATGGCGAATAAAATATTTGCATTCAAAGAAAATTAAACATTTATTACGAAGAAACACAAAACAAAATTCTGCGAAATTTTCCAAACATGATCAAAGCTAAACAACACGGTATTAATATTTCTCCACAAAACTATACAATTTTTCAAATTATTTAACTGCGCTATCCGAGAAATTTAAACACAGATTTTATGATCTAAGAAAAATAAAAAAATACGCTGTTGCTCATGGAAAATTCTTGGTTTTTAGAACCAGTAAGAATATCAGAACTGGCTGATATATTTGCACGTAATTACGCGGAGCTATTTGACGAATTTATTGAGAGAAAGAACAATACACACTCGGAAGCTATTTTTAAAGAAAAGAGAGCGAAAAATAATTACGTTGACTTCTGGAAAATAGTAACAATATAAGACTGTAAAAAGGTGCGTTCAAATTTTACTTACGCATCGACGTATCTATGTGAAACGTCATACTCATAAATGAAATACGCAAAGAACATATATTGAAACCGACTTACTGATTCACATCTGGATGCCGTTTTACGAGTAGCATGCAGCAGTTACAAGCCTGCTTTAAATGAAATTGTGAAAAAATACAGTATTGGTAATATCAACGGTCAGAGCCGTAACTAGGCAGGTGCAACAGGTGCATTCGCACAGGGCCCACTTGGAAGGGGGGGCCCAAACTGCTGTTCACAAGAAATTATTGTTTTAAATCTTAAATTTTTCCTCCTTTTTATTGGCGATTACATTTTGCCTTATTTAGACCCTAGATGTCTGCTCACCAGTGTTCCCAACCGTGGCGACTTTTAGAGGGACGTAGGGAGATAGCGGAGACCGCAGACAAATCAGCAAAACTTTTTAAATTTTGTTTATTTATTTTTTGAGAAATTTAAATTTATGTTTATAGTTTTCAAATTTATAGATTTTTCTCTACTTTATAAAGCTCTCTGGCGACGACTAATATTATTACGATATACAAAACTGTATTTCTAGATTTTT